TGGTGTTTTTATCCAAAAATCAAGTTTACAGAGATTTTATTGGTTTAAAGTTAATATTGTTTGTCTTGTCTTTATATAATAGTTTTTACTTTAATTACATTTCTTATATTTTCTCATTAAATGACCAGAAATTTGAATTTTTTAACACTGGAAAAACAAACACAAACATTCTAACGCTGAAATGTCTGAGCTTCCCCGGATCCCCTGAATGCTGCACCTGCTCCACAAAGTCGCCTCCCTATAAGGACTACAATCATGGCCTCACAAAACAATTACAGCTGCTTCCCTACAGCTGTCACGCATGCGCAAAGGTGGGTTTTAGTTGCCATATGACACATTTTAATTATGCGTTCGTGATACAGAAGAATAATGCTGACATTTAGCTTCCTCTCTTTAATGTGTGTATGTGAAGGTTATGCAAAGAATTCAAAGGGCTCCTCTGACTTGCATTTGACTCATACTAATGAAACATTATAAAAATAACCACAGTCCTCCGGTTCACTGTGTCGGTGCTTCTCGCTGTGCTGTGATCGTTCTTCATGATGGTGTTTTCCTACTGGAAGCTGAATGCTCTCCAGTCACCTTTCCTCTGTGTGCAGTGTGGTGGTCAGTCACCGTTTACCCACCCTGAGCTCCGCCACAGCCTCTGAAACAGCCAGAACACGACCTCTGCTGGCATGGGAGGAAACACAAGCTTGGATTCTAGCAAGGAAGCAGCCTCATCAGAGTCAAAGGGAAGGTGAATCCTCCCCGACCATGTCCGCTGATGCTCCTGCTTCACGTTTATCAGTAAATCCTGAGACGCAGGAGGTAAATTAAAGCTTCAGGTGTCACTGATTCTTCACATGTGTGCATGCACAGATATATAAAGTTTTACAAACTCTAAAGAAACAATCTCCCTCTCACCTCCAGGTGGTGTTGTGTGTGTCTTCTAAAAGCTTGTATCATCTACCACCTGACAATTTGAGTTTTGTATGTTTCTATAGCAGCCAGATGTTGGAGGTTTCTACTGCAGCTGGGCTGCAGGTAACTGAAACTGTTTGTTTATAAAAGAGTTCAAAAATTCTGAATAGAAATCAACACTGGCCAGATTCAGCAACCAGCGGCTGCACCCCACACCGCTGCCTGAGCCACCAAGCACCAAACCCCTACGACCTCTCCTGTGGGTAGAAATCAGAACTCCGGACATGCCTCAAACACCTCGTGGGTGAGGCAGCCAGGTCCTACCTCTGAAATGTCCTTGGAGGCAGTTTCAGAGTCGTGGAATAACACCGGGGAAACTTTACGATCTTCATCTTGAAGAGGAGTTTTTCTAAATGTCAAAGAGCACGAGCGCTGCTTTGCACACTGAGCTGTGACGCAGAGAGAGAAGCTGCTTGAACATCTATTGTAAATATTAAGTGAACATATTGTTATTGCGTCACCTGTCCTCAGCCCGTTTATGTCAGTTCTGCTCTGTTGTGTTTGAATTACGTAAGAGTGAAGAGTGGCGTGATGCGTTCACAGGCCACACCTCACAGTCGGTCAGAGGTGTTGCCTGAGTCTGCTTGTTGCAGCAAACCTTTTTATTTCCGGTGTTTGCAGTTTGAACACGTGGCTGCAGATTTAGTGAAAACTTCAAATAAAATAAAAACAAAGGTAAAGAAAATGCATCAAAATCCTACAAAGAAAAATGAATCTAACCAAACACATCCAACAGGTGAAAGCGTGGAGTACCTGTGAGCAGCGAGCCAGCTTGTCTGTGTGTTAGCACACAACTCTTTATATTTATCACATTCGGGCCAGAGATGGTTGCAGTTTGAGCTGCACATACAAGATTCCCTGAGCTCCATGTTACTGACGTGATGGCTGAAAGCTCGGAGGAAGATGTTTGAATCATCGACCTGTTAATAAAGTTATTTCCTATTTCAACTTGGATAAAAAAGAAATTTTCATTTGACCACAAAGCTACTCACAGAACTTTGAAACAACCATATTCAAACCACTATATGACAACAACGATGACATACGTGAGCTCTGACATCTGTTTGTTCATCTGTAAATATTTCACTAAAAAGACTTATTTAAAGTTTGCTCCTTAAATATGTGATTTCTATGTTTGAGCTGCAGCGAGGAGTCGAGGCAGGAGGAGACGCTCAGCTCGTCAGGACGGACGTTTCCTCCAACACCGGCTTCTTCATCTGAAACGACATCGAGAGAAAAGTAACAGAGAAAAGTATTTTCTCTGTGAAATCTTCAGTCCGCTGCTGTTTGCTGTGATCGTACTGATATAACAACAACCTGCTGGATGCTCAGAGTTTAAACGAGCTCAGGCAGCAAAGAGCTGCGTTCACCGACGACAGTTTTCAGAAGTGTTTCTGATCTCTGAGCGAGCTGCACCACAGAATCAGCTGCACCACAGAATCAGCTGCACCACCAAGTATTTTAATGATATTATGAACCGCAGAAGATAATTAACTACACTCACTGCTTCATTAGGTGGCAGCTCAGTGTTTATTTCCACTCAACTGTTTGCTGCCAATCACATGAGAACGTCAGTGGATTTAAGTTCAAACTGAGCATCAGAACGAGGAAGAAAGATGATTCAGTATTTCAGAAACTGCTCATCTTCCCATGATGGTCCAACAAACCATCTGGGCTCTCTGGGTGAAAATGCCATGATAGTAAGCCAAATAATCCCTCTGCAGGTCTGCA